CCTCCAAGAGCATGTCCCCAGGGACCTAATTTCCTTCCACTAGCCCCACCTCCTCAAGGTTTCACAGCCTCCCAATAGCATCACAGATTGGAGACCAAGTCTTTATACATGGACCTTTCGAGATTTTCAAGATCCAAATCATAACACGGAGAATGAAAATAAAATTGATAAATGGATTTATCATGCCAGATGATGATAAATACTATGAAGAAACATACAGCAGTGTTAGGGGATGCAACAGGACTTTGGAGACTCCAGAACTTGGTAGCAACTTCCAAAAATGTTCTGGGAGTTGTTTCAAGGCAACACTGATACAGTCAAAGAAGTGTTGTTCAAACCGTAGTCTGCAAACCATTTGAGAGTCATGAAATCCGTTGGCAGGCTCTTAACCAGCATTTTTTTAAACTAACTAGAATAGAAAGAGAAATATCAATGTGCATCACATGTAGAAAGGGTGCCACCTATTTCCTGAAACTTTTGCTTTAGTTCTCTGTGTGCATGTGTGTGTGTGTGTGTGTGTGTGTGTGTTGTGTGTGTGAGAGAGACTGTTGGTTATAATGGACATAATTTTTTAAATTATGGGTCACAGCATAAAACACTTGAAGCCACAGTTCTCAAAAAAAAATTTTTTTTTAATGTTGAGCTGTATTTGCTCTTTAACCTATCACTGAGATGAGGCATGCAAGCCATGTCTAAGTTAACCCCTGGTTTCTCCAGCCCATGCACATTTGAGAATTAAGAACACAGTTTTGTGAAGTCATCCACATGCAGTGGTGACTACAGCTTCTCCTTCTCAGACTGCATTCTTCAGTCTATTATTCAGACTATAATATTATTATGTTGCCATAACAAAGAACACAGACTGGGCAGCTTGAACAACAATTTATTTTCTCTATTCTGGAGGCTGAAAGACCTAGATCAAGGTGTTAGTATATTTCTTTTGTTTTGTTTTCTAAACTCTTTCTCCTTGGCTTGCAGATAGCCACCTGCTCCCTGTGTCCTCTGTGTCCTCACAGGGCCTTTCTTCCTCTGTGCACTCATCCCTGGTCTTCTTTGTGTGTCCAAATGTTTTTTTTTTTTTTTTTTTTTTTAATGCTAATGATCGTTTTTTTAATGCAACCAAATTGAAGTCAACAAAAAGTTTCACTAAAACAAAAGAAGGCTTGGTAGCCGATTCATCCAATTACAAGTAAGTGTTAAAATCTCAGTGGATCCAAAAGGAAGCAAAAGAAATAGGACAAAAAACTTCAGCTATAGACAAACGAGAGAAGCCGAACAAAGCAAAGTACAGGAGGCTAAGGCAAGAGGATCCCAAGTGCAAAACCAGTTTCAGTAGCTCAGCAAGGCCCTTGGTGAGACCTGAAACACGTCGTGAGTTCGCCTGAAGACTTCAAACACGGGTATTTGGTTGTAGAAATCTTGTTTTCCGAGCAGATTTCTCTGTCGCTGTCTTCGGAGTTCTCCCGGTAGGTCCACGTGTGTCCCAGCGCCAGGAGCAGCAGCAGCGGACCCAGGCTCCGGCCCAGCTGCCCCCGGACCGCTCCTCCCCGGCTCGGAGGAGGTGGCGGCACCATCAGGGAAGCTCCGGGCTTCTTCCCCGCGCCGGAGCTCTCTTCCCGCCCGGCTGTCGGGCTCCTCCGTGGCCGCCGCTTTCCTTCTCCCTGGAAGGGGGCGCCAGAGAGCGGGGGCGTTTGCACCACCTGAAATAGTCCTACTGACCAAGTGGAGGTTTTCATTAAAGTCTCTTCGAAGTTCTTATAGAAGTAAGAAGTTCTTATAGAAGTAAGAACTCTGGTCAGAATGGTTTAGGAGCCACACATAGCCCCATTTCAACTTCAACACTTTGTGTGTGTGTGTGTGTGTGTGTGTGTTTTACTGGGTACTGAGCCACTGAGCATTCTACCACTGAGCTCCATCCCTATCTCCTTTAATTTCAGTCTGACCTCAAAATTGTGATCCTCCTATGTCAGCCTTCCAGTCACTGAGATTATAAGGCTTGAGCCTCTGCATCTGGATCATCACTTCTTTAAAGCTCCTGTCTCCAAATACAATCACATTCTAAGGTACTAGGGATTATGGCTCCATATATAAGTTTGGGGGGACACAATTCATCCCATAATACAGATAAAACTTTGGCCAAGCATGGCTCCTTAAAACTCACCAGAAATGTAGCATTGCTGACCATCAAGTGCCCATTTATTTCTGGCCATGCCTCACTGCTTTCTTTCTTCCTAGAAATGCAAAACCATCACCCTTACCTCTCAGTCTATGTACTTTGTTTAGTGTGGACTCCAGCCCTGGCTTCTAGGGCAGCCATGAGATTCAAGCCCAGCTAATCAGAGTATGGCATTTCCCTGTGTGGTGATTGGTTTAGCATGAGCACCTAACTCTATCAGAACCAATGAGGTGAGCCCAGGATTTCTAAGGCCTTTTTAAAGAGAGCCCATCCCCTTTTTGTGCTAGGTTGGAGCCTGGAGGATAGAATTGGGAAGCCACTGGAGATAAAACTGACATGGAGATACATCCCAGAAACAAGAAGTTCTGAAGACATTATTTGAGTTTTCACAGCCTATAAGCCCTAAACATGGTAAATACCCCATGTAAGTGTTATAGAGCGGGAGGTTTGTCAAAAGGGCAGGGGGTAGGTTAGGAAAGGACCTGGACCTGGACCTGGACCTTTCAGCTCTGAACACCAATAAAAAAAAAATGACACATTTTATTCAAGCCATTCTGAATTCAATTGCTACTTGCAATCAAGAGAGCACTGACTAATCTGTGCTGGCCAAGGGTATAGGCAAGATGGTCAAAAGGTCTCAGAGGGTAGAGAGAAGAAATCAGTCTATTATTCATGGGGGCAGGAAAGCTGTGCATTTTAGGTCAACCAGGAAGAGGGTTACAATTGTGATAAATATGCATACACTAGTGGGGAAAGCATATGAGGTCCATGCATGTACCATTTCTTGGGATCTCAAAGATTTAAAAAGTCATTTTGAGGATTTCTGGGACAGAAAGGTAGGGGTGTTAAACCTCTTAATTTCTTTCTTTTGAGCAGTGGACTTCCTCCTTCAACAGCCATTGTGTCATCTCTAGAGCATCTTTCTCCAAGTTGAGTATTCCCCAGTAGTACCCAGCTATTGTCACATAACAGTGAGCATCCTTAGAGATAAAGTCCAGCATGCTGGCTGGGAGGACACCAGCTGTTACAGTTTGAATTGTAAATGTCCCCCCCGCCAAAGGCCCATATACTAAAGGCTTGGTCACCAGCCTGTGGCCCTATCAGGAGGTGGTGGAACTTCAGGAGACTGGGCCAAGTAGAAGGAAGTTAGTCATTGGAGGCATGTCCTTGAAGGTGATATTGGAACTCTGTCCCCTTCCTGTCTCTCTCTTTGCCTCCTGGCCAGCATGAAATGAACAGATATACTCTGCCACAGACTCTTGCTATGATGTACAGTGCTGTCACAGACCCAAAGCAACAGGAATAAGAGCCTATGGACTGAAACCATGAGCTCAAATAAACCTTTCCTCCTATAAGTCTACTATCTTGGGTATTTTATAACAATGATAGAAAGTTGGCTAAATACCAGGGAAGACACCAGTGGAAACTTTACCTCCTTGACACTTTCTTCTCTGTTCCTAGTAATGCTTTTGGAGATGGATTCCTTATTTGGACCCCATATCATCCTGCTGAGCCACTTGCTAGTTCCCTCTTGAGGTCTGTAGTTAAGCCTCTTCCGTATTTTGAACATGGGTGAGGTGCATCGGGCACCAAAAGCTATACTAAATTGCTCTCTATAAAAGCTTACCTTGTCGGTCTCCCCATCCTGCTTAGCATCTCCATCTTGAATCCTACTTAAGATTATTACCATCATCCTTCCCTAGTTTCAGGCATCTGCAAATTTGAAAAACCAGTCTCCTCTGTTAACTCCCTGAGTAATCTAATAGAAGACCATCACAAGCAAGTTTGATCAATTACACAATTCTGCTGCCCTGGCAAAGGCTTGACCAACAATATTTGAGCCACTCTTTGAGTAGCAGTACATCCCAGCAGAATCAGTACTGGCATTTCAGTATGACACACCTGTTCCCAAATTTAGACTTTAACATTTACTAGCCACATGAATCATAGATTATTTTTCTAGAAAATGTGAGTGTTGATATCAACCTTGAAATGTTGCTATGAGAGTTAGGTGAGTTAACACTAGGTCAGTGGCAAGGTCAGCATGATCTCTTAATAAAGGTTGGTTATTATTACTGATGATGATAATAGGAACTCAATAAATACAAAAGTTTTTAGTTTTTAGGAGTACTATGGTTTTTGTGTTATAAGTGTCCCCCAAGGGACACTCTGTTATAAAAGTCTTGGTCTCATGATGAGTATTATTGAGATGTGGTAGAACACTTGGGAGGTGCAACCTAGTGGGAGATTCTACAGTTATTAGGGTAACTTAGAGACATCATGTCACTATCCCTATCTCTATTTCTTTTTTTCTTTCTCTCTTTCCTTCTCTTTCTCTCTCTTTCTTCCTATCTGGCAATGTAAGCTTTTTAACATACACACTCCTTTATAATGGGCTACTACACACCAACCTCACTAGAGATCAAACCAAGGGGGTAATTTAATCTTGGACTTTGAATTCACAAAACTGTGAAGTAAATAAACTCTTTATAAGTAGGCTGCTTCAGTTATTTTATTATAGTAATGCAGAGCTGACTGATACAAGGAGGGAACTATCAGGCTAGAACAACATTTCAATGCATAAATTTGATTTGTTTATCTTTGTATCTCCCAGAGCCTAAGAAATAACACTCATTGAATGCTTAATGAATGGACATATGAATGAAGTGAATGGATGAATAGATGGATGTAACTGACCCCAATTTCAGTGGTAGATACTAACAACACTTCTCAAAAGCAGAGTCTCCCCATTCCTACAGTCCTACCCACTCCATTATAATATCTCCAGTGATCCCACCCAAAGGTCCTAGGTGTCCACTCTTACCTCCTTAGGGTAATTGCCAAACTCAGCCTGCAAGGCGAGGACCCCCAGCTGTAGCAGTGTCTCATCGTTGCAGTGCAGCCTCTCCTCAAGGATATCTTTACGAAGCTGCAGGTAAAACTGATGCCTTGTCAGGCTGTCCCTAGCAAAGAAATGCAGGAATAAAGGAGACTGGAATGCTGAGGCAAGAACACTGCACCAGAGGGCTTCGCAGTCTGAGAGGTAGGAAAAGAAGGGAAGACAGGGTACAACCCAATAGAACCCAGAGGACAAGCCAGGAAGGCCAGTGTGGTCTCCTTCATCCACACCATGTCCCCTGCCCCTGGTGAGGGCTGCTCTGTGCCCAGGCATTTCACACAACACCTACTGATTTCCCCCCTCATCCTATCATATTAGAGTCCAATCAAGAGAAGATTAACCACCATAACTGTTGTCATTTATATGTAATTTACAGTTCCCAAAACACTTGCCTACCCACTACCTGTAATGTCAGGGGATGGGTGGGCATAAGCTCCTTAAGGAACCAAGGGACAAGTTGCAGAACTCACTGTAGCAGCCCACAGTGGCTGACAAAGAACTTTATCCTCAGAAAGAGTGTGAAGGTGTCCATGGAGGTCTTCAGGAGCTGCTCTCTCCAGCCTTCAGGGGCTATTTTGCACAATCTTGTTTCATTGTTCAGGAAAAAGAACTCTTTGCCTAAGATGGAAATAGAATTTGGAGGGAAAAGCAGTAGGGGATGTCCCACCTCTCTGTTAGAGTCTGTAAACAAGTCAAGATGGCGCCTAGCATTTTGCAGAGGGAGTGGTTTGTGAAGTAATGCCAAGGAGCGATTAAGTGTGGAGATTCCTTATTGGTTGACTGCTGTATCTAGTTTATGTTAATTAAGATAAGCTGTGTGGAATGTATATATACCCCTCCTGTCCTACAATAAAGGGCTTCCACTCCTGCTATATCAATGTACACAAGTTGCTCGTCACCCCCCAGCTATTTTGCTGCAGCCGGACTGCGGCACCTCTCAGATTCACAGCCCTGAACCCTACACAAAGTCAGATGTGAGCTATTAGTGTAGGGGAGAGCAGGACTTAAGTCCCCTCATACCTGGTACCAGGGGACTTTTGTTGGAACCAAGAGGGGCTAAGACTAAGAGGTAAAGAAGAAAGGATCAAGGAAGAAAAACTCAGTACCAAGAGGAAAAACTATGATTATAGTCAGCCCTCCATATCCACTGGTTCTGCATCCACAGGTTCAACTAATCATAGATCAATTTTTTAAAAAAATTTCATAAGTACTGTACATATACATTTTTGTCATTGTTTACTAAATAATACAATATAACATCTATTAAGACAGTATTTACAGTGCATTCATTTTTATAAGTAACCTAGCAATGATTTAAAATATGTAGGAAGATGTGTGCAGGTTATATGCAAATACTATTTTATATAAGTACCAGAAGATTTGGATGTTTGAGAGGATCCTGGAACTCATCCCATAGGGACAACAATATTTATGTTAGAGAGATGTCCCTCAATATCTGTTTTTCAGCTACTATCTTATATAAATAAGATCATAAAACAATAGAAAGAGTATTATTAAGTTCCTGCCATGGGCCAGTCACAGGCATCTTATGAACTAAATGTTTGTGACCTTCTAGAAGTCATATGTGAAGGTGAAGCCCTAACCTCCAAAGCCATGGTGTTTGTAAGGTGAGACCTTAAGGAGGCAATTAGGTTTATTTGAGGTCTTGAGGATGGGGCCCCATGATGGGATTATTGTCCTTTTAAGAAGGGGGAGAGCTAGCACTCTTGCTCACTCTTATTCTACCCCCGACTCCCCCCCATAAAAAAAAAAATTTACTCTACAAGCCAGGAAGCCAGTCCTCACCAGGAACCAAATCAACTGGCACCCTGATCTTGAATTTGCCAGCCTCCAGAACTAAAGAAATAAATGTTGTTTAAACCACCTGGTCTAGCAAGTGTACTCATATTTGTCCTTTGACTTTAAAAACTCCAGACATTAATTCCTCCTGAGTTTGTCCTTTAGCCCCTCTGGAAAGGAGGTTGGATCAGTCCAAGTCAATGAAGGTGACACCCCCACCCCTCTGCTGTCTTCACAGGTGAACCCCACCCTGCCTGGGTGCTCTTGGCCACTCCCTGGGGACTCCTGTGGGTCAGTACCCACCCTGTACCCAAACAGTTCCCTCTTCTCTATTCTCCACTCCCTGAGCCTAGGGTGCACATAGCAGCTTGCCTAGGTGGGACTCCTGCCTAGAGTTAGAAGGCAGAGTTTTTAAATGAGTATCCTCCCTTTTTCCTAGGGCATGTACATGATGGAGGGTAGGGCTGGTGTCCAGGTAGTTTTAGTGGCCTTCCCCACTTAATGTCCACCCCTCCACCCTTGCTGATGAGTCTGACTCTCCACACCCTTCTCTTAGGGTTATTTTCCCCTAGGAATGGGTGAGTTCCCAGTACAGTCTATTTGAAAAATTCCCCCAAGGTGGTTCTATCAAATTCCAGAGGTGGCTATTTTTCTGTGATTTTCCCATGAGGCTCCTTGCTAAGCTGTACTGGGAGCTGTCCACTTGGGAAGGGCTCAGGGGCAGCCACCTGATTGAGAGATATAAGTAGAGGATACATCCTGAGGTTCTATTCACAGAGTTTTTATTTAGATCACACATTATAAATCAATAAAAATGCATTGTTTCCTGAAGATGCTTTTATTCTTACTTTGCAAGAGTGAGCATCCATTGATTATGATCACATCAATGCATATTATAACTGTTCTTTTTATTTGTAAAAGGGATCTTGGGAAGGGCAGATGAGAGCGACAAGGAGGCAATGACACTCCTGCCAGCCCCAATGTAGCACAATGAATAATAAAAAGCTTTCCTATTGGGGCAAAAGAACAGAGGAATATTGAGATTATTACACTTAAGCAGTGTGGGCTGGAACCAGCACTGAAAGTTCATAAAATCAAACTCAACCTCCTTCTACTAACCAGCCACACAGTGGGTAAAGAACTTCAACTGGAATATTTGCAGTAAAGGAAAAGTCCCTTAATGGAAAGGCAGAGAAAGGAAGGAAATAAAGAACCCTTCCCTCACTCAGATCTTTAAATGGATTCTTAACTTAGGCTCCTGGGGTCAGGGTATTTAGTTCTATCAGATAAAAGATATTTTTAACATTTGCTTGTCTAAGATCATGCACTGAGATTGATCAACCGGATCTGGCAAGCTACACATACCTACCACACCCTACATTTGTTATTTTGTGATAGTCTGCACACACTTGACACTTTTTTCACACACATACACTTGAAGCCATCACCAGCTAACCAATATCTAGGAGCTTAGGGATCCAGATGCCTGCAGTGCCAAGGACTCCCCAGGGAACACCCACCTTTCAGGTAAGCCAAGCCAAAGTAGGTGATCTCCCCAAGATTGATGAAGGACATGACAGCATTGAAGACAGCTCCCACTGTGGACTCGATATCACATTTCACCTCCAGACACTGCCCGCTCAGCAAGACCACGCAGAGGTCCCTGAGAGCCAAGTAGGATTTCCCTTTTTTGGTCTAAAAACAATAGTATCAACTGTCACAATAAGCATGAGACATTGCCTTTAACCTGTGTTTGTTACTATGCTGAGCACTTTACATGCATCATCTCATTTAATTATTAAACAACCCTAAGACACAAATATGATTATGATTCATATTTAGCAGAAGAGAAATGATGGCTCATCTGAGATGGTAAGGGACTTGCGCAAGGTTGTAAAGTTAGCAAGAGACAGAACCTAGACTCAGATGTGAGCTCTCTGCCAGGCTCTGCAGGGGCCAGGAAGACTGGGAGGCAGGTCTGACCCTTGTCTTTCCCCTGCAGAAATCCTGCCTACCCTTGGGCTCTGCTTGTTGTCAGGACTGACTAGTGAATCACACACCCTCCAGGTGTTCCCCAACTTGACATTGTCCCCCTAGGGTCCTGCCAAGCACAGGTTAATGAAATAAACGGCAGAGAAAATTTGGACAGGTGCAGATCCAAAACAAGATGTGGCTAGAGCAAAGGGACTGTAGAAACCAGTCAGCAGAGCTGCAGATACATACCAGAGTTTGCCTTCTGCTTTGTCTGCCTCCTTGGATTATTGCCAGGTTCATCTCCTACCACAGCCCTGTCTAATCACCATCACCCAGGTGAAGCCTCCCAGGCAGTTCAGCATTCCACACCCCCATGGGCTACTCTGCCTGACTTTGCACACACTGCATGTGGGGTTGGGGGAGCAGAATGCTCTTCCCCACACCACAAATTCCTATAAGTCTGCCATGTCTGGCTCAGGACTCCTCCTTGTCTGTGTCCTTCTCTAAGGACTAGGGTTGAGGATCCACGCATCCCCACCTCCACTCCTGTCTCAAAGCCTAGATCAGGGCCTACTCAGACCTCTCCTGGGAAGTTCTCCTTAGAGAACAGTTAACAGACACTGGTATGTAGTGTTAGTACTCTAGGGGCCGTGCCTGCAGTCACACCCTGACCTGCAGGACTCTACAGGGGGCCATGTTCCTGTTAGGTGTCCTGAGACTGGGAAGTGTCGCACATTTGCATCTGCCTTCTGCCTGGACTGTTCTTCCCCCAAAGCCCTCTTGCTTCTCTCCGTCCCCTTTCTCTCTTCATTCCTGTATCTGCTCAATGGTGCCTCCTCAGAGCCACCTCCCTATGTGAAAGAGCACTTCTCTCCCTCCTCCCGGCCCCACCATCTCCCACTCTCTTGCATCCTTATTGGTCTTTTCCTTTCCTGTTGTTTTAAACACAGATCACTACCTGGCATTCTTTTATGTGTATGTGTACATTTGCCTACCTTTGCCTCCCTCTGCTAGAATTTAAGCTTCCACAGCAGAGATGGGACCTAGAGCAGTGTCTGGCATGTGCTAGATGCTTCTTTACAAATACTCTGGCTAAATGAGAAGATGAAGGCTGAATTGAGACCAGAAGGACTGAGCTCCAAATCATAGGAGGTTCATCTCAAAGGGGATGGAGATGTGCTGAAGGATGAGGAGCTGTGGTGCCATTAGCATGGCTCTGGTGGGTCTAGAGGACACTGAGCACCACCAGGACAACGTGCAACAGTCAGAGTGCAGTCATCTCCCAGACTTGCCTGGCTGGGCGATTTTCTCCCCACCTCATGCTGCCCCGTGCAAACCAGTAATTACCACAACTGATCCAGGTAGATGTAGGGTCACTGGGGCCTCTCCAGCCAGTAGTAGGAACTCCGGCCTGGAAAACTGGGGAAAATATTCAAAGTAACTTACAGTGAAAAAAAGAGGATGAATTTCCCCTATAGAATCACCTTTCCCTGCCTCTCCCAGGCTTCTAACCCCCTGAGCCCCAAGGAAACAGGTTTCAGCATTATGGAGCTGACTTGAGCTGAGGCCCCAGCTGGGCTGGCCACCTTAATGTGGAACCTTACAGGCAGGTATAGGATATTGGCAACGTTCTGGTCTTAAGTTGATTACAGGGATGCCTACATCATTAAATGTTCACAAATTCATAAAGCATTACATAAAATTTCATGGGTATTGAATGCATAAAGCACATTTATACATTATGTGCAATAAACAAATTTTTTTATTTTTATTGTTTTTTAAATTATATGATGAATACACAACAGTGAATCTCAGTATCAAGTACATACACAAGAAATTAATTTAAAAATAACTGTGGGTAAATGGCAGAAAGATGGATAGAGGGAAGAGAACAGGGGGTAGTGAATGGGAAGGGGAAGAAGAGGTACTGGGATCTGAACTAAAACAATTTTTTAATAAAACAAAACTACCTTGATTTTTAGATTAGGGCAGAGATTTTTCCAGTCTGAATGTTGAATGAACAGGGTCCATAAGCATCTCTCATTCTCAGTTTCACAATATTTCATGTTTATGTCACACTTGTGACTGAGAAATGCTTTAATCCTCATTGTTCTTTAGACTCAGTTGCCATCCCTTCAGGTGCATGCTCTTAACCCATTTTATAGAGGAGGAAATTGAGGCTTCAAAAGTCTAATTAACTGGTGGAGTCATATAACCAGCAACTGGCAGCTTCTAACATGTCCCCAAGAATACTCAGCAGGACTCCTGTCTCAAGAGGTCAAAATTCCAGCCATGGAATGGTCTGTGTCCTGAAAGTTCTCAGTGGATGTGCCTTCAGTGACTAATCAGGAAAAAATAAAGCTTAAAAAAAATAGCATGCTGTGTTCAGCTACTGCTTTCCACATGAGTGGCTGAAAACTTCCTGGCATTTCAAGGATTCCAGAAACCCCTCTTTGACTACCACCTCCCCTGTACCCATGAAGACCAAAGAATGGCCTTGGGGACTGCAGAGGGTCAGATGGGGCAAGTGGGCCACACAAGAGGAGGGATATCTGGAGGCTATTTGCTCTGCTCATCTCTAATTTGTTAAGAGGCTTTAAGCAAATCTCCCTGTGACAGACAGACAAATGCCTTCTGAGGACATCTAGGTCTGATGTCCCCAAAGGGTCCCAGATGGTGAGACAGAAGATCAGGCAACGACAACCTCCTCACTGAATAGCCTACCCAGAGGGGGCTCTTCATAGGTCCAGGAAGCAATAATCTCATGGTCACTGTAGCCTTGCATGGTTGTAGGATAGTTTTGCAGTTAATGGCAGTATTGTATATACTCTAAACACACTGGTGTTATAACAGGGATTTAGAGTGGCTGCCTTTGCCAAAAGCAGTGACTCTTTTTCTCAGGCTTGCAGATGGCCCATCAATAACTAAAGCAGGATAAAGCTTGGCATCTCTGCCTTTGTTTTATCTCTCTCTCTCTTTTGGGGGGTGGGGGTGGTTACTGGGGATTTAACTCAGGGGCACTCCACCACTGAGCCACACCCCCAGCCCTATTTTATATTTTATTTAGAGTCAGGGTCTCAATGAGTTGCTTAGCACCTCACTTTTTCTGAGGCTGGCTTTGAACTCGAGATCCTCCTGCTTCAGCCTCCCACGCCACTGGGATTACAAGCATGCACCACCATTCCTGGCTCTCTCTTTTATTACCTTAATCTTTGGGTCAGCTCCCTGCTCAGTTCTGCATGCAGGTATGCTAATCACTTAAAGAGTATTCATGTAAAAATTATTAAAACAAGATTTATGAGCCCTAAACTTACCTAACCAATCTCATTCCCCTTCAGGACTGAGGCAAGATGTGCAGCATCCTGCTTAAAACCCTTGGGGTGGTGCCTAAAATTCTTCAGTCATTGTCCTATATCTGCCAGGATTTTAGGGAGGCAGGCACATCACCTCATGATGAGATTACTTCCTTTAAGCAGGAGCAATCATCTCATGGGAAATTTGCTGCCCCCTCCCAGGCTCACAGATCTGATGAATAAACATCCTGAGCAACAATTGGAATTTTTCTCCTCAAGTAATTAAAGACTTCTCTGGAGCCACCTTGCAGAACCAAAGCTAAGAGAATGATCAGCCAGACCACAGTTTGCCCATTACTGCTTAATATGCATACTTCTTGCTCTCTGCCTCAAAACTTCCTCTATTTAAACCTAAAGCACCTGAAGATAGTACCCTGAAAACAAGGTTGAGACGCTGGATCTCACTTTGCCTTCCCAATATGGCCATATTGACTAAAGTTCTTTTCCTGCTTTTTATCATCACCTTTTCTGTTTGATTTTTGGGTTGAGTGGCCAGTCCTGGCTTGTTGGGACCCCTGCAATCAGGCATCTGACCTAGGACTTTAGATTTTATTTAAAAAAAAAAAAAAAAAAAGTGGCTATGGCCAGCCCCAGGGCTGTTTCCAGAAGACACTTTTGGTCAGAAAGTACATTCTGGGCCCACCCCAGATCCCACCTCTCAGTGCAGAATTGGCAACCTCATCCCTCAACAGAGCTACAGTGCTAGGATATATCCATCTTTTCTGTTAGCCTGGCCTCCAAGACTTGGACAAGTGGGCCTGGCCACTCTCTGGCCTCAACTCCCTACATGTCCCCTCAGCCTATTACTCTTTGCAAACCAAAAGGGAGATGCTCTTCTCCCTAGAGAAGTAACCCCTCTGCAGTTCCAGATCTGTGCCTCTGCAGTTTGTCTGTCTAGAAGGCCTGTGATAAGTGCATTCTGCTTTATCAGTTCTCTTATCATATGTCATGCTTTGTTACAGCCCTATACACCAGTAGCTGTAGACTTCCTAAGAGGTGAACCTGGCATCTTCAACTGATATCCTACACAATATCTACTGCAAAACCTGGCCCAGTGAGGCCACTCAACAAATACCTATGCCCTGAATTTCGAATTACAGATTTACGTCAGTTCAGTTCTATGAATCCTGCCTGGAAGACCCTACCTATTTTCAGTCTCTGTCTCTGCGTCATAACCACCTGCTCAAACCCACCAGGGGAGTGTCTAGCCCTCTTTTGCTCACCTTTTTCTTTCTTTGCAGGAAATTCCTTTGAGAAGGAGCTGCTAGCTGTGAACTTCCTGCTTCTGCCAAGAGCACAGACCTAGAGCTGAGCCGTTGACCCTCCTGCTGGTCATGGGGAAATGTACCTGCAAGAGTGCTGGCCGGGTTGAGAGGGGGTAAGTACTTGATACAGTCATGCTTCCATGCCATGAAAGCCACCATGTGCAAGAGCTTAGCTGGAAAGAGTACACCTGCTATTTCATGTTATCTTTATCCAATGCCTACAGGGGAAACTGAAGTTGGCAGAAGTCAAGGCTGCACAGCCATGGAATTTGGGGGAGGGAGTGAGATATAAGACCACAATCTTCTTCTCCCTCAACTCCAGGTCCTTGCCTGTGTGCTCTGGGTGTCATGACCCAGATCCCCAATAATCTCTGATCAGATCATGAGATTCCAGGGGTACTGACTTTTTTCCTTCAAATCTTATGTATTGTTCAAAATATCTTGACAATAAACATAGTTATGTACTGCATAATGATGTTTTGGTTGACAGCAGACTGCATATATGACAGTGATCCCATAATATTAATATGGAAATGAAATGTTCTTATTACCTAATAAGGCCAAAATCACCATACACAGTAGCACACCACTTTATATGTTTGTGGTGCTGCTGGTGTAAACAAACTTGCTGTGCTGCCAGTTGTACAATTATATACAGTGCCATTATTATAATGGAAAATGATAACAAAGGACTATGTTGCTGGTTTATGTATTTACTATATTTCATATCATTATTTTAGAATGTTCTCCTCCTTATAAAAAAGAGTTTACTGTTAAACTGTATGCCACATTATGCCCATAGCAACCTCTTACATCATGTAGTTTCTTGATTTTTTTTTTTTTTTTGTACTGGGGATTGAACCGACGGGTGCTTAATTACTGAGTCACATTCCCAGCCCATTTTTGTATTTTATTTAGAGATAGGGTCTCACTGAGTTGCTTAGGGCCTCTCTAAGTTGTTGCAGAGAACTTGTAATCCTCCTGCCTCAGCCTCCTGGCTGCTGGGATTACAGGCATGCACCACCACGCCCAGTTTACCATGTTTCTTGAATGCATCATTTTCTCTTAGGTCTAATTTCATGTTGCCTCATCCATCACAACCCTAGGAGTCTATATAATACTACATATTTGTGTGTATATATATATGTGTGTGTGTTTATACATGGGATTATATAATGTGATACATATTATATTATATATATATATATATATATATAATTTTATGTATAAACACACACCACATGGTGTAACAGGCTATACCATCTAGGTTTGTGTAAGTACCTTCTATGATGTTTGCCCAATGATGAAATGCCTAATGATGCATTTCTCAAAATATATCCCATCATTAAATAATAAATGGGGGTTGTAAAAGCTCCTTTTGTTTAAAAAAAATCAAGTTTTAAATGGCAGGAAAAATCATTTCAAGGTGAACTTTATAACATCTGGTCAAGGTCCCAACTGTGGATGTAACAAGTATGACAAAAGCCCTTGGTTGAACAATGGATACCATCACCATTCTCCTCAACAAATCAATATGCAAATACCAAATCCTCCAAACTTCAAAATGTCCAAGTTCCAGCCCTGTAGGATTTGACACAACTTAAGTATCAGTGTTAGACTGGTTGCAAAATGGTCACATTCTTCTCCCTGCCCTTTGAAATGAATTTGTATCCTTCTCCTGTCAAGAGGTGGAATTCTTTTTCCCCATCCCTTGAATCTAGGCTGGCCTTTGGCTTGATCTGGCCAATGGAATAAAGTGAAAGTGGTGGGTGCCAGTTCTAGGAGCCCTGTACCCACACCACCCCTCTCCCTCTGCCACTGTCATTTAAACAACCCCAGCCTGGCTTGTTGGTGAAGAAGACCTAGGGTCTCCAAGACACAGCCAGCCATCTCCAGGGGCAAAGCTGCAGGAGATCACAGTTGCAGGAGAGGACCCAGAAGAGTCCAGAAGACCTCCAAGCTAACCATAGCCTAAATTACAAACCTGAAGAATAAGGAGCTAAATGAATAAGTGTTGCTTTCAGACACTGTGCCGTGTACACGTTAGTTATGCAGCAGATGTGGCAGTGGATAATTGCAACAACACTGAGGCATGTTATTGTTCCATCTTTGAGCCTGAGCATGGTTACCAGGGGAGACAAGGAGGCCAATGGCACAGTTGCCACCAGGCCCTTTGGCACCTTGGCTTCATAGCTGCTTAAACATATATGAGGTTGCTGATGGGAAAAGGTAGGCATGTTCTGAAAAAGCAAGAGTCTTCTCATCAGTAATCAATAAAGACACAGAATACAGGTGCCTCACACCAACATCCCATACCAAGTTCACAGCACCCTGAGCACCTTGAAGCTCACCTGTTAACAAAGAGGCTGCAGCGACTGTGTGCTGAAGTACTCCAGCATGGCTCCAGGGAGCTCTGGGTCTCTGTACTTCTGTCTGAAACTAACCAAACAGCCTGGTAGAGAGCATGGGCAGAGGCAAAGGGTCTGGCTTTCTGGAATCAGGCATCCCACATTGTGGGTTATATCACAGTTCATTAGCTGAGGGCCCTTGGTGAAATTACTGAATCTCTGAGTCTGGATTCTCATATAGCAAAAATGAAAATGACAGTCATGGAGACCAGAGGGACTTATGGGGAGGTAGTGTTACAATGGAATATAAAGTCTAATGGTAAAGAACAAAAGAACACCCTGTTTTAGAGACAAAAACTGATAACTTTAATCAAAAACATATAAATAAAGCAAGCAAGCTTAGATTCAGTTGAAAAGTAGAGAACAGAAGAAGATTTGAAGGTTATTTTAAAAGCCATTCTTTTAACATAACTAGAATAGTAACCAAAAAAATCTTCACAAGTTACTTTCCTTTCATTCCAGTTAGAAAGTCATTTTTTAAGTTTATCTTTTTGTTGCTTGTTTTAATAGGTTCTCATCAACTTGGACAGTTAGAGTTCTATTTTAAAAAGTTAACATTGGACATAAATGTTAAATTATAAAACCTTTCCTGTGGACATAGATGAGAACTGAGCTCAAATGCTTCTCTCCCAGGGCTTTATAAAAGAAAGGCATGGCTCAGGTTTTATCTGTTACCACACAGGGATGCCTGGACCACACAGGGCAGGGAACAATAGAAAGAGCACCAGTGACCCATGCAAAAAATGCTCAGGGCATCTCACCCACCTCTGCGAAGATTCAGACACTCCAGGGCCGGTGTCATTGGGCTCTCGCTGCTTGTCCCTTGCAGCCTCTTCCTGAGCAGGTAACTTCGGCTCTGCTGCATGCAGGTGCTTTCTTCCACAACTCTTCTCTCCATCTGAGAGCCAAAGTCATCGCACATCCAAACCCAAGGTCAGGAGACACATAGATACATACAAACTACCTGGTCAAGCTAAGTCAGTAGAATTGTCCTACACTGCAGGAGCCTAACATTACATTCTCCAGCAACCAGAACATGCCCTGACTCACCACCCACAAGCACCCGAGAGGTGAGTCATTCACATTTGTGCCTTTCTCATGCATCTTCCTCTGTGCCTTTAAGACTCAGATCTGTGTCCTCTCCACTTCTAATTCTCTTCACCTCAGCCCCTCTGACCACTATTTCTTTACTTTTCTTTTTCTTTCTTTTTTTTTTTTTTTTGGCACCAGGAATTGAACCCAGGGGTGCATAACCACTGAGCAACATCTCCAGCCCTTTTCATATTTTTTTTTGAGACACGGTCTCACTAAGTTGCTTAGGACCTTGCTAAGTTGCTGAGGCTGACTTTAAACTTGCGATCCTCTTATCTCAGCCTCTAGAGCTGCTAGGATTACAGCCATGTACCACCATGTCCAGCTGATGATCTTTCTTTATTGCTCTATTCACATCTCTCTCTGTTACACTACATTACCTTGAGTTTGCCTGCCTGCCTGTTTCCCCTACATTGCTATGTTATGCACCATTGCAGCTCACCTGGTGCAGTGCATTAATGCTGAATAAGAGATTGAAGTTTATTCTGTGGAAATGTCATAGGTCAATGCAGTGTCTGTCCAAGGACAATGACACACCATTGGAGGATAGACTATATTGTCTTTCAAATGAATAAACCCCTTTCCCCCACAAAATCTTCTAGCCCATAGCAATGTAAGAATGCATTCTTGCATAGGGGAAAATTTGCATGGAGTATTAGACCTTGACAATGATGAGGAAAGTGATCATTATCAGAAAGGAACCGTCTACAGGGCAGGAGGCTGAGGCAGAAGGATCGCAAGTTCAAAGCCAGCCTCAGTAATGTCAAGGCACTAAGCAACTCAGTGAGACTCTGTCTCTAAATAAAATACAAAATAGGGCTGGGAATGTGGCTCAGTAGTGGAGTGCCCCTGAGTTCAATCCCTGGTACAAAAAAAAAAAAAGGAACAGTCTGCTGGCATGGAGAGTGGAGCACAGATTCTAGACAGAGGGTGAACTAGCACAGGTAGAGTCCCAGCATAATGAGGAGTGCCTTCATGGGTTGGAAATGGACAAACAGAGAATGGGGAGCTTTTCATATGTTTCATTGTCACAACTACATCCCTGTTACTTGAGTGAAGAGATGGTGTCTCATGCTGCTTTGTGTGTCACATAACAAGTTTTGAACAAGAGATTTAACATGTTAAGGATGATAGGACACAAATTTTTCTTTGTCAGAAATATGAAAAGGGAAAAATACCTACAAATAACACAGCATTAGTGGAATGTAATTGAAGATTTTAGGGTGAACTCATTTTTAGTATAAAACTAACTAAAAACTCAAAAAGTCTTCTGACATAATTAGCAGAAGCCACATGTTCATGTGCAGGAGAAAAGGGGTCCAAGACAAATGAATGACAGTAGAGGGGGCAGAGAGAGAAGAGGGGAGGGGAGGGGAGGGGAGGGGAGGGGGGATAGTAGAGGATAGGAAAGGCAGCGGAATACAGCAGACACTAGTATGGCAATATGTAAATCAATGGATGTGTAACTGATGTGATTCTGCAATCTGTATATGGGGTAAAAATGGGAGCTCATAACCCACTTGAATCAAAGGGTGAAATATGATATATCAAGAACTATGTAATGTTTTGAATAACCAACAATAAAAAATTTAAAAAAAAAGAAATAAGGGTAGTGAAAGTGGGTATCCAATTCAAGTTCCTGACCTCAATCTCCATGAAAATGGGCACGCTTCTATAATTTCTCCATTAAGCATTTGGCAAGATTTCAGGGAGCCAAGTAGATTTCAGAGTGTAAAACAGTGGCAAGACATTTCCTCTACCATTATTTCAGTGAAAGCTTTTTATTAAAAAATGTATGTTGACCTTATCAAATATACTGTAGGCAAGAATTATTCTAATAATATGCTTGTCTCCTTTTGACCAATTAAAACTCTGATTTGGTGGAATAAATTGTCCAACAGGAAAAAAAAGAAAAGGGGTCCAAGAAGGATGCTAGGATGGAAGAGGCTTTTACTGACTGACTTGACTGTGCCCTATTCAGCTGTCCCTTCATCTCCCTACATTAACCTATATGAACAACATGACCCTTACATTAACCTTGGTCTGGGCTCCAACTTGTCCCTGGACAAGTGCAGCTGCCCAGCTGGTCTCTAGCTTAGCCTTCCCGAACTTCATCTATCGTGAAAACTTCCTTACAAATCCAGGCATGGTGATGCACACTACTGATCCCAGCTACTCAGGAGGCCACGGTTAGAGAAATGAGCTCAAGGCCAACCTGGGGCAAGGTGGTGAGGGCTCATCTGGAAGAAAGAAAAAGGAAGGAAAGAAGAAGGAAGGAAAGATAGAAGAAAGAAAGGAACCCAGCCATCCTTGTTACACTTTGTACCATGAGTACATCACTTGCTCCATCCTGCTTGATCTCTACCCTGGCTTCAAGGAGAACCAACTTCTAGGTGCCATTCCTGCCCTGGAGCTCCCCAGGGGGACAGGTGGATGCTATCTTCAGCTGAGTCCACTTCCTTGTTCACCTTGTGCCAATCCCACTGACTTCCCATCACTACCCTCTCCTAGGAACATTTTCCCAATAAATAACTTGCACAGAAATCCCAGTCTCTGGATTAGCTTGAAGGGAATAAGCCAGATACTGCCATGTGCCAGGCCCCTAGCTGGACACTGGGGATGGACAAGGCATCAAGCAGCACAGTCAGACAAGGGTAGCAAAGGGGCTTCCCCAGGAATAAGATCACAGAGGGAGGGTGTGGTCAAGGTCAGATGAGGCTGAGTTGTATTTTAATAAGAGACCTGAATCACAGGTCATAAGCATGATTGTTTTATGCAAAGAGGCACTTAAAAGATTTCAAGGGCCTCAGTCATGTTAGGAATTAGGGCCTGCCTGAGGGTTTCATCAGAACCACCCAATAGAATTGCAATGACCAATGATGAAAATGTTCTAGATCTGCCCTGTCCAATAGGGTAATCACCAGCTACATGTGGCAACTGAGCACTTGACATATAGCAAGTGTGACTGAAGAACTTTTTTCTTTTTTTTTTTTTTTTTTTTTGCAATTCTAGGGATTAAACCAAGAGCTTTCACATATTAGGCAAGCACTCTGCCACTAGCCACATACCCAGACCCTTGAATCTTTAATTTTGTTTCATTTTAATTAATTATAATTTAACTAATTTAAATTTCAACCACCACACATGGCTAGTGGCTACCAGGTTGAAAATGTCAGGTCTATACTGACCTCAGAGATGGTTCCCAGAACCAGGCCCACCAGTCGTCTGATGTGGAGACGGGCAGGGGCTGGGCACACAGCCACTTCTTCCTGATGGACTCGACAAGCTTCCAGAACTGACTGTAGTGGCCGCCGCCTGCTGGGCTGGTCTTCACACATGGTCAGAAGGATGGAGTGCAAGGGCTCATGGAGCTGCAAGGGCTGCAGAGCATACAGGGTAGTGAGAAGCATAGCACAGCTAGAGCAGCTGCTGCTGAGCAATACTGTGTCAGGTGTGCCCAGGGGACTAATGGAAAAGGATGCCTTCATTACCACCAGAGCAGGTGCCTGCTCCTTCTGAGAGCTTAGGTGAACACGAGATTCTTCACCGAGGCCACATGATGCAGAGTAGTTATCTCTGCCTCCATTGTGCAAAGTGTGCTGCTCTTTAATCTCAGATATGCTTCAGCCTGACATGTGCTTAGAATACTGGTGAAAAACAGGTGCTGGACATGATGGAGTTACACCTGTGCCAAGCACCCTGGATCAGACCAGAGATCAGTCTTTCACTCATGGTCACCTGGGCAGCCTGACTAATTATTCAGGTAAGACTCAAGTCCTTTCCCCTAGATCTTGAACTCCAGGAGCCTATAAACATTGGAGTCACAGGCAGCAGCACATGTGCTCAGTCATTGTTGGTTGAACTTTATGCCACAGGCACATGTCAAGCAAAAGAAAAGCTAAGTCTCTTATAACCACTTCCATCATGCATTGAAGTGACCACCATTTATATGAGGAAGGCCTCAAATTCAGATTCAATCTCTGACTGTTAGGGGGTATCGCTCAGTGGCAGAATATTTCCTAACCTATATGAAACCCTAGGTTCCATTCACAGCACTGCAAATCATCATCACCATCATCATTATCATCATCATCATCATCATCATGAATAACAACATCATTTGACTGCTTCTCCCACTCCAACCACACTGAAAGTCATTTGGCAGAAAGGATGCAATGCCATGTCAGGAAGGGAGCATCCTCTGAGGTGCCATCTTCAAGGGAAGCCAGGCTACCAAGTTTTATACTCACACAGCAAATTGGAGGTCTCTGTGTGTCTGAAACTGGACAGTATTCGAGATGGTCCCTACTTTCAAGATCAAATTCCAATAAGAAAAATCATTACTTAAAGAGATGAGGGCAGCACAGAATAATAAAAGCTTGGCCTGGGGAAGAACAGAACTGTGATAACACAGAGACAGGGACCTGACCCAGACTGATACCAGAGTGTCCACAGGGATTCATTACAAGGAAAGTGGGGAGTGAGCTGTGTACAGAAGGAGCAGTGTGGGCATGGGCACAGAGGTGCCCACTGTCTGAAAGCAAGGGGCCATGGGCAGCATCAGGGCCTGTGGCAAAATGACAATGTGGGACCTCTTGATCCAAATTATTAAGACTTTCAAGATGGTGATAGCACAGCATTAAATCTAGCACAGCACCACATTCATACACCCATGGAGCTAATCCTGAGGAGTGAGGAGAACCAGAGAAGAATTGTTCAGGTAGAAGCCCAGTTCTGGCCTCCATGTGGGTCCTGCTGAGAGGCTAGATGTAATCTTTGGGTATCCTGGAGATACCAAATATTTCATGAAAGAAGGGTTGTGAAGAGGCTCTGTTTACAAAAGAGCACCAGGAATCACTAGGATTTGGGATTGGAGAGGGCAAGGGTGGGAGGGAGGGAGGAAGGAAGGAAGAAAGGAAGTAAAGCAGGAAGAAAGGAGAATTGGAGGAAGGAAGGGAAGGGAAAAGAAGTAAAGGAGGGAGGGAAGGAAAAAGGAAAGGAAACAGGGGTGGTATCATCCATACAGGTTCTCCAGCACATGCTCTTGTAGCACTAGTTTCTAAGGAATTCTTACAGTGTCAGGTGAAAATTTACAAAAACACAACTATTATAAAATGCCACCTTAAACAAAGTTTATAAGGCTCTATGCCTTAAGCCTTCTCATAGTCTTTAATAAACTACTCTGAAAAAAAATCTTTGAGAGACGTTGCAGGAAGCATTTTCCACATTTGATGAGCAGGGAACCTTTTTGCAGGAAAGCATCTCACTTCAGGAAGGGCTTTTAGTACATAACTAAATGAATAAATATATAACTGTATCTTCAGTGTCTGTAAAATCCTCTAGTTTATGTCTTCCTCTGAGTGGAGATAGCAAATAAATCTCATCTTCTCCACCAGTCCAAACTTGTATCTGACTCAAGTGTATCTGAGGTTATTTCTGGACTTTCTAGCAAGAAGGAGATGCAGTGTGATCAATTGGCAATGCCTGCCTGGGACATAGGAGGAAAGAGTGACAGCACCCATGCTCAACAGCTGTGGACCCTGCCCAGGAACACCACCAAATTAATCCAAAGACATGACCTGGAAAGACTTGGGGCATTGTTATATACACACCTGGTTTGGTGGGACATGAAACCCTGCTGTCCAGTAGAGAGTCATTCCTAAAGAATAGACATGCATCTGCCCAAAAGAAAAGCATGTGATTAGTTTTCAATCATCTCTGCTATTCTAAGGTCCTGCAAGCCAAATACAATTTAATTTTTGCATATACACATGCTGTGTTCTAGCTGGCCCAATACCATCTGTACTTCCTTTTCTGCTTCCTACACTAGAGGCTATCAAGCCAGAATTTTGCTTTCTAGCAATAACTACAACACCAAATTTTGGCAAAAGATGTAAGGGAAGTATATTAAGGGGCTTCCAAAAAGATTTTTTTTTTGCTGTTTTACTAACAAGTATATATGACTGGTTCCACACTTTCTACCTTGTTTCTGCCTTGAACACTGATGTGATACATGGAATCATAGCAACCATCTTGTGACTATGAGGAAACAGGCATAAGAACAAAAAGCCAGCAGATTAGGGTAAAATGGAAATATACAGACTGAATCCTTGATGGCATGACTGAGTTGTTGACCAGTCCCTAGACTTGTTAAGTAACTAATAAGTATATCTGTGGCTCTAGCCATTATATTTTAAGCTGTTTCTTATAGCCAAACCTATCAATACATGACATATTATACACCATGCTGATTAAAACGCACCATATCTTGTCAAAAAGAAACATTGTATATTGGAAAGAACATTTTCTGATTTCTCTGAGCCTATTTTTTATCTGTAAATCAAATATTCTGCCTCAATACTCATGAGGATCAAGTAACAAGTTCTTGGAGACAATAACAATAATTGCCATTCTCATTATTGTTTTTATTGAACACGGAGCATTCACAATATAGCAAGCCCTATTAAATATTTCATTTATATAATTTTTTTATTCCTCACAACAATGCTTTGAGGTAGGTATTTAATTGTCCCCATTTTACAGAGGAGAAAACTAAAGCAAAGGCAAGCTAGTAAATTTGCCCAAATAAGACTCAAACCTGGACTTGAAGCCAGGTACCAGAGCTCCTGCCCTGAGCCACCATAGAGCTGTCACCTCCTAATCATAGTAGTCCTGAATGACTTCATTTTTATAGTGGGGCTTCTATTATAATTGACAAGGCCATTTGCCCCTTTTCTTTTCTTTTTTTTTTTTGTCTATGGAATCAGTTTATCCTGGGTAACAAATCAAAAACAAGTACTTATTTCTTTTTTTTATTATTAGTTGTTCAAAACATTACATAGCTCTTGACATATCATATTTCATACATTTGATCTTTTCTAAGGAAAAGGTTTAGGGGCCTTTGGAGAAGGGACATTGAAGGACACGAAACACGGCATGTGAAAACACAGTTGCTTAAGCAGCCCACTGGTCTAACAGTGGTTTTGGTTTTCCACATGACAAGGTCAAGATGTGTGTTCCATGTCATCTGGGCTGATTAGCTCTTGTCTTTGAAACTGAACCGTTAACCCAGCCACCAGCCCTGGGATGAATGAGACTAGATAACATTCAGGGAAGTTCACAAGTTATACTCATTCCCAGGGAAATAACCGTAAAAGCAGACATGGGAATAGCACCCTGAGCACAGCCAGAGGCCCTGATCAAACCTGGGAACTTTCCTGGATTCTAAGGGCTCTGTCCTGAGTGCCCTAGGGCCAAGCCAGGCCACAGTGAAAACAGGGTACATCCCAAATATTAAATCCAGCCCACTGGTAGGCGCTGACTGCAGAAAGGCAGCAAGACAGATTTTGAAAACAACTCCTGACTCAGTGGGAAAGAACACCATGACTGACTGGTAACATCTGCCATGCACACAGGAGGCGTAATGACAGCAAAGGTGATTTGTAGTTAGACACTTGCCCACATCTTCCACCTATACCTGAGTTAAGACTCCAAGCAGTGAGGGAAATAGCTCAGTGTACTGGTCAGAGAGGGATATTAGTCAAAGAGAGGAGTCCCTGTACATTGTCCTAACCTTAGAGCAGGACCCAGGATAGGAAGAGGATTTCAGGCACAGCCATTCCTGGGGACACTCTCCTGAATGTCCATCCCACCCTTCACAGACCTGTGCAAGTTGGATAAAGAGAGAGCTGAGTGATGCATGTGGGATAGTGGGTATCAGAACTGAGCTTTAGGGATCCTATAAGAGATCAACGACCAGGTAACGCTGCCTCTTGGCCTAAGTAACAGTGCTTGAGTCTTCTGGTCCTTTAAGGCATACACCATGTGTCATGCTTAGAGGTCAAGCAACCAACCAAAATAGCTGTCTGGCTCCTTCAGAACTTAGTCCTTCCCCACACTGGCCCTTGTCCAGTTCAACTGGCCCTTCTCTGCCTGACCCAGACTCTGAGTCACATATACATACCCAGTTCTGAGCTTGCTCTATTCGTTTAGCCTAGGGGCTCATGGAGGAAATTGTGCAGGAGGGATAGCATGTGTTTCTCTAGTTCAAGGGCAGAAGAGTGACTAGACCTTCCCAAGACACTCAGTGGAGGCCAAACTGAAGTTGGGAAGGCAGTACCTGTGCTTCACCAGGGAGCCCTGAGAGGGACAGGGAAGCACCCCGGGAGCAGTCAAAAAACTGTTTTAACTCAGGTCCTTTAGAAAGCAGGGCACTGACACTTCATACTGAAGCTGTCATCCCAGGGCAATGAGAGTGAGAGAAAAAAGGAGCAGGGAAGCAAGGGCAGATGCAGCTTTACCATGCTGACCACAGAGCCAGCAGGAAGTTCCTGGAGAAGCAGCATTTCCAGATATGCATTTTTCCCATGAAAGAATAGCAGGAAGTGCTGCAGACTTGGCTTCCTGGATCTCAGGACTTCTCTGGAAGTTGTGCCTGGCTCCTGGACATTTCAGACTGCCTGGCACTTCTCTTTACCGGTGGCTCAGAAAGCCAGATCCCAGGGCTGAGCATGTCATATCTTAGCAAGTCCATAGCATAGGAGAAGAACTGGCATGTGTGGATCCTGGACCAAGCAGAAGAAATCTGAGCGGCACCCAAGTTTGTGTCTGACCCAGGTATCTAGTGATTCACCCCTGGGATGCTAGCAGTTCAGGGAAAGGTATATGTGCCAGAAGTACAGGGACAACTGCTGATGGGGTGACAGAGCCAGGGTTATTACAATGGTGATGTTTTCACTGCAGTAATATGAATAGGAGACACATGGACTCTGACACACCAAACCTGGAAGCCACTGAGGCCACATTCTCTTCTTCTTGGAGCCCAAAAGAAAAGCATCTCCAGTTCCAGCATGGCTCCTGAGAGGAGCACCATTTCTAGATCTGCACATTTCCCATGAAAGAACATGGAAGAAAGAATAGAAGTGGTACCTTAAACACCTACTATGCCCTGCCCAGTGCTGTGTGTCTGCCTTATATCATTCTCACTTTGATTTTCTTTTTTTTTTTTTAATTGAAACTACTGTCTACTGGAAATTTTTGCAGTTCAGAAGGAAAACATGTTCCCTGTTGGAAAGCCAAAAATCTCCATTGATATTGCCATCCAGAAATAATCCCTCCAGACAACTTGGTGGTGCATGTGTTTTAGAACTTCCTCTCTTCTCTCTCTCTCTTTTTTTTTCTCTCTGCAAACTTGGATCACATTGTGTATGCATATATCAATGCATATATTGAATTTATTTCCAAGTCATTGAATACACTTCTACAGCAGTCTCATTTTAATGCTTATTCTCATATCCGCTCTCAACTGATCGTTCATCTTGTTTCCAACTTTTAACTGATGTCAACAACACAATGCTGAATATTGCTACAGCCGAATCTATCTTTACTTATGCCTGAGGATTCCTAGTTGGGGACTTGGGTCATTTATTTTTCTGTTCTTTCTTCATGCTGCCAGTGGTAACAACAGACAGACCTTTTACTCCTATCTTTTGGGGTGCTTCGTTTTGAATGTTGATAATAGCCAGATCGTCTAAGTCATATTACTCCACTATACAGATATAGAAACTTGGGCTCTACAAATTTGACTTGCCCCTACCCAAGAGCTGGCAAAAAAAAAAAAAAAAAAACCTGAGAACAACATTCTTTAAATCTACTTGTGTTAGTTAGCTTTTTGTCACTGGGACAAAAATACTTGGCAAGGACACTTAAAAGAGGAAACGTTTATTTTGTCTCACAGTTTTAGAGGTTCAGTCCGTGGTGGGCCAGCTCCATTGCTCAGGACCCAAAGTGAGGCAGTACATCATAAAGGAAGGGCATGGTGGAGGGGTGCTGCTGTGTTGATGGCAGCCAGAAAGTAGAGCAAGGAAAGAAAGGGGCCACAGAGAAGATGCATCCTTCCAGGGCACATCCCCAGTGACCCACCTCCTCCAGATATGCCCACCTGCCTACAGTGACCACCCAGTTAGTCCCTAGGATGGATTGATGAGGTCTCATCCCTCATAATCTAATAATTTCACCTCTGAATAGTCCTGCATTAACAGAGGCATCTTTGGGAACAGCTAATATCCAAACCATTAATACCCACTCTGCCTCAAGGTAGAATCAGGCGCCTCAGGATGAACTGGGAACAGGGAGTACTGCCCAGTAACAGGCCTTTCCCAGGGGACAGGAGACAGGTACTATAGAGAGGCCACACATCTTACCTGTGACACATCAAGCATCTCATCCTCACCTTGCCCCTGTAGCAACTCAGGGGCCTTGAAAGGAGCAGCTTCTATGTGAGAAACACGGTCTTGGAAAGAAAGACTTCCAGTTGCGGAAAGCAGGGCTGACCAGGGGCAAACCACATAATCCGAGGAATCTGAAAGCAAGTCAGCGATAGGGGTATAGAGAAAGGGCCACCATCTGGAGAGCCAGCTGTGGGACTGTGTCTGGTAGGTGCCTAGAAGTAACTGTCTCTAGGGTAGACCATGAGCAAGACCCCAGGGAGACACAGAACTGAATTAATTCAATTCTTCTGAAAGGGAGCATCGATTACAAAAGATGGCTATAACCATGGCCAGGAATTGAGCACCTGCAACCAAATTCGTCAGTGGACTGAGAGTTTCAAAGCAAAAGATAAAAAAAGGTCAAGTCCTACTGGAAATTGGCACAAGCCTGAATTCTCTGCAGCCAGACCAGAACCCAAGGCAGCTGGTCTTCTGGGAGCTCTGAATCTGTTTGTCAAAACCTCTAGGGCAAGGAAGAGACAGTGAGGCCTCAGGAAGAAGATGAATCCAAAGGCACAAGTTAACAGCCTCCATCTACCTGCCCAGACTGGAACAGTCTCTGGCATGGAGTATGTGCAGTAACATGGGCTGACAGCCTCTGCTGCATGCACTGCAGCTGCCAAGCATGTGGGACTGATGAACTGACAGCAGAGTATGGGCTCTCAGTGTTTGTTTCAGTTACCAATTTAATGCCTCACAGCTCCAAATTCATTCTTCCATACACAAATTCTTCCCTTACACAAATCTCCTAATATTTAGAGCACCATGACAACCTTCTCAGTAGAGGAGACAGGAGAGTCATCACAGGACACTAGTGCTCTCCTTCTGTTGGCTATGGTCAGCAGTGGTATGGGCATGTGACCACCAGATGATGGCACAGTCCTGGACTCAGGCCCAGGACAACAAGGTCCCTTGGTCACTCTCAAGGCCTAACCTTGCCACATGATCCCCTTCTCTTTAACTTATCTATACAAATGGTGCAGGCTCATTCTCTCCTGCCCACAAGGGATTCCTGCTTACCTGAGCCTGCCATCACCCCAACCTTCCACTCCCTCTGCCACAATTGGCAATTGCCTGTTCCCCACCTGAGCCATGACTACAGACCAATCCCAACTAAGCAAGCCAGTGAACTTCATCATCATGATCTGCAAGCACAGCTCCCCCAGCAGGTCCGAAACCCAACCTGGGGACAGAACTTACCTTCAAAGTCTGTTCCTCACTGGGTACCTATCTCAGTCTGAGGGCACCATGAATAATTTTCTTCTTTCAGTTACTCTTATATATCTTTCAGTAACTCTTAATAACCTCCCCTATTTAGACCAAGTGCGTGTTCTGTCTTCCGGAAGGACACAGGACTATTACACCATCTGACAGAGTATAGGGGTATCCAGAGTGACTATCCTCCGCTTCCCATCTCTAGTTGTGCCCAAATAACCCAAGAGATGGAAGAGGGCCAGCTTTTTCACCACTGTGACCAAAAGTCCTAACAAAAACAACATATAATAGGAAAAGTTTATTTGGGGCTCACAGTTTCAGAGGCATCAGTCCATAAATGGCCAACTCCATTGCTCTGGGCCCGAGATAAAGCAAAACATCATGTCGTAAAGGTGAGAAGGAGGAAAGCAGCTCAGGACTTGAGAATCAGGAAGCAGAGAGAGAACTCTGCCCACCAAGAACAAAATACATGCCCCAAAGGCCCATCCCCAATGACCCACCTCCTCCACCCACTCCCTACCTGCCTCAGTTAATCCTTATTAGTGGATTAATGTACTGATTAGGTTAAAACTCTCACAATCCAATCACTTCACCTCTAAACTTTCTTGCATTGTCTCACACATGAGCTTTTGGGGGGACACCTCATGTCTAAACCATAAGAGGCCTACATTGCTCCAGCCAGCACCTCCCTAAGCACTATGTAAGTACCAAGGCAGAAGCAAGGCCTTCTGACTCTGCCACATGGCATGGGTCTCCCAACGTAGCTGTGTGGAAGGTGCCATTTGCCTACTCATTTTAATACTTCAAACTAATAATTAATTGAGAAGCAGCAGCCAAAAATATGCTTGTATGGGAAGCTTCACTTTCAGTTCCCTGAGGCTTCACTGCCCCAAACTCTTACCATTGTGAAGGTCTTCCAGGAGCCGCTCAGCAGCCAGTGACAAGAGGGACCAGAGTTCTTCCTCAGACAGAGCTTCGCCCCTGACCTGCAGGGCACTGGCCAGTGTCACAGAAGCCAGGCTCATGCCTGCAAAGACACACATGTGGTAGAGACCCAGCAATGTCCACGAGCACATCTGGGCCAGCACTTGTGACTCCAGCCCCTCTGAAGTACATGGATGCCATATTTTCATCACCTGCATCCCCAGGTCAGGGTACAAGGCCAAGGCTACTTGAGAAGTGAAAGGAATGTTCACTGAGGGGCTGGCCCAGATGCTGGTGGTGAATGAGTGAATAGACAAATCAACTTCTAAGCCAAAGGTTAAGTAAATGAATGAATGAATGAATGAACAAGTGAACCATGACAGGAACCCCTCCTCAGGGAGAGTTCCCTATGCAGGAGAGGAGTGTGGGGGCCTGTGGGGGCATTCATTGTCTACTCTCCTTCTCTGTCTGAGAAAGTAGGTTAACAACCATTTTTGCCTCCAACACATGATTCATGTCTTTCATCTCTAGCTGCCACATGCAGAGTTGGATTTGGCCCCAGCACCAGCCCTTTTGCCAGCACCTGCCTGAAGAGCAGGCAAGAATCCCTAGAAGGAAGACCGAGCTCCATGTTTCAGGAAGGGCAGACATGCAGAGACACTGCAGGAGCAGGCAGGAGGGCTGGGCTTCTATTCCCTCTCTTCTGAGAAGCATTCCTTTAAACCAAAGTTGACATTTCAGTGTCTATCCCTGCCCCCACCCCATGCACAAAGCCACCCCCTACTAATCTCCAGAGCCAGTGACAGCAGGAAGAGGCCAGGCAGGCTTTTCCTAATCTATTCACGTCACAGAGCTTTTTCTACAACCAGAGCTTAGGGAGGAAGGGGGTGTGCTGGGCTGGGGCCGGGGGAGCCCAGCACAGCACCCCCCCCATCTCTCCATGGGCACTAAGCCAAGCTGTCCACTCACCAGCTGCTCAGCTTATCTGAGAAGAGAGACAGGTTTCTAGAGAACAAGCCCAGCTCTTATATCTCTACCTGGGGGCAGGAAAGGAGCTGCCTTGTCCTTAAGAAGACCTACTTGGAAACTGTTATTTATGAGAAAGTGTCTGTGAAGGGGCGGCTGTTGCTTCCATTTACAGGCAGTCCAAGTAACCAGGTAAACATTCACTGTGGGGAACTTGCCAGTCACCCTGATTTGGTTTCTGCACACTGTATCCGTACATGGAAATCCCACTGTGCCCCATAAATATGTACAATTACTATGTATAATTTAAATTTTTTCTCAAGTGATGGATTCAAAGCTCAAGTCCAGGCCCTCTGTTTCCTTCTCTCTTCTTTTCCTTTCCTCCTCCTTTTTCACAAACTTGCTTGTGACTTATGGACTAAGCATCACATTTGGCCATATTTTTCTAACTTTCTACCATGACAATGAAATGCTACTCATTAAAGATAAAAAAGAAACAGGAGAAGACTGATTCTCAGACAGAAAATCTCTGAATCCCAATCTAAAATAGGGAAGCAGGCAGGCAGCAGGGGGAGGGGGGGAGGAGTTCCAATCACATTAAGATAAGAAGGAAAAGAATGCATTGAACAGCTTCTAGGCTGGCATGGCTATCTGAGACCATCATTTCAAAGCAGTCATTCAGTGGAGGAAGGATGGCCTTTTCAAGAAATAGTGTTGGGTCCACTGTGAAAAATATTGAACATTGGCCTAAACCTCACACTACAAAAAAAAAAAACAAAAAACTGTTAGATCAAAATGGGTCATAGATTTAATATTGAACATAAAACCATAAACTTTAAGAAACAAATGGGAGAAAATATTCAGAACCTAAAACTAGGCAGAAGGTTTTTATTTGACACCCAAAGCACAATCTATATAAAGATATCCAATTCATAAATTGGACCTCATCAAAATTCAGTTTTTGCTCTGAGAAATACCCAGTACAGGGATTTAAAAAAAAAAAAAAACTATGGGCTAGGAGAAAATATTTGAAAATCACCAATCTGAAAAAGTACACATACTTAAATTTTTTTAAAACTTTTAAAACTCAATAAGAAAATAGCTATTCAATTAGAAAATGATATGCGAATGACAAATTTGGGCCATGAATATATATTAAACATTATCAGACATTAGGGACATGCAAATTAAAACCACAATGACATGATACTAAAACCTATCAGAAGTACTAAAATCAAAATTTCTAACAACTCCACATGCTGATAAACATGTGTAGAAGTACTCACAAATTGCTGGTGAGAATGTGAAATGGTCCAGCTACTCTGAAAATCAGTTTGGCAGTATCTTATAAAATTATATATGCTAGTACTATATAATTCAGCAGTAGTATCCATGCATTTATACCAAAGAAATAGAAATTTATGTTCACACAAATATCTATCCATGAGTTGGCTTAGCCAGTCGCCTTGGAAAATGAAGTATTAACTACTAAACTTGAACATGCATGTTAAACAAACACAAGTAAAGTACTACCCTAAGTGTGCATGCTCTTTTCCAGGACTCTCAGGCTAGGGAGTTGCAGTGGCCTACGTGGCCATGGACACATGATGCTGTGTGTGCACACGCACACACATGTATATGTGAAGTGTCTTAGTTTGCTGTGTCTGCTGCTTCAATAGATAAATCTGTGTAGCATACACTAATATTACCTCTTGAATAACCACAGTAGAGCAGAAGAATAAGACTTTGTCTATCATAAATTTATGTACAATCTTTTAAAATAAAACAAGTGAAAATGAGGACTTACAGATATTGAACATAATATGATCAACAATTTCAATGCAAATAAAAATGAAAAGGAGGGGCAATGTATATCTGTGTGTGTGTGTGTATATATATATATATATTCACAGTTTACTACAGGCCAAGTAGAGGCAAATGAAAAACATATATTTTGTAAAGAGGGCTGAAATAGTACTTAACATAAAACAAGTAGTAGCTTTTATAATTATTATAATTATTATGTGTACTAACCCAGTATTCATAGATAATTAATATACTATACTAGAATATTACTAAGGTTATTATAGATCATTTTTGGATCCTAAAAACTTTAGCTTCAACAAACCAACATGTTGGATTTTTCTTATATACTAGCCAGCCAACAAGGATTGGTTGAATGAGATTTCTGTCTTTATTTTTTTTAATTTTAGAACATATATACACAAAAATATGCTTAGCACCCTGCTCAAAAAAAATTTTAGGGCTGAGGATATAGCTCAGTTGGTAGAATGCACAGAAAGAAAGAAAGAAAGAAATTTAACTGCATTGTAGATTTGGCCTCTGCTATGGTTTGAATATGATTTGTTTCTGCTGAAACTTACATTGAAATTTGGTTGTCAATGCAGCAGTGTTGGGATATGGAGGCTTTAAGAGGGATTAATGTCTTTATTACAAGACTGGGTTAGTTCTTGTGGGAATGGATCACTTTTCAAAAGAGTGGATTATTGTAAAGTGGGTCAGCTCCTCTGTCCTCTTCCTCTTGTCCATATTTATCCATTTGCCTTTCTGTTTTCTTCCATGAGGCCAAGAGCCAAGCAAATGCCACAAACATGCTCTTGGACCTCCAAAATCACAAGCTAAAATAATCCTTTTTTATTTCAAATTATCCAATTTCAGGTATTCTGATATATCTGTGGACAGTGGACTAAGACAACCTTAAAATTCAAACATTGTACCTGTCACAAAAAGGACATAGCCCCAACAAAGGGACATATTGAATTGCATCAAAAACACCAATGCAAAATCCAAATCAGAGAAAATTTTCAAGTCAAACAAGTGGGTTGCTCAGGAAAAAAAAAAAAAAAAGAAAATTTTAAGAAAAAGAGGACAAATTATATATTGGCAAGACATAATAATTATAACTATATATGCCCCAAACAATGGAGCATCTATATACATCAAACAAACCTTCTCAATTTCAAGAGTCAAATAAACCACAATACAATAATACTGGGTGACTTTAACACACATCTCTCACTACTGGACAGATCTCCCAAACAAAAACTAAATAAGGAAACCATAGAACTAAATAATACAATCAATAATTTAGACTTAACCAACATATATAGAATATTTCATCCATCAATAAGTGAATATACTTTCTTCTAGGCAGCACATGGCTTTTTCTCTAAAATAGACTGTATCTTATACCACAAAGCAACTCTTTTAGTAAAAATCAAAAAAAAAAAAAGACTTAATAGCCTGCATTCTATCAGATCATAATGGAATGAAATTAGAAATCAATGATAAAATCAAAAATAGAAACTACTCTAACAAATGGAGACTAAATAATATGCTACTGAATGATGAATACATAGTAGAAGAAATAAAAATAAAAAAAAATTCTTAGAGGTAAGTGAGAACACCGATACCACATAGCAAAATCTCTGGAACACTATGAAGGGAATATTAAGAGGAAAGTTTATTGCATTGAGCTCATTCATTAAAAGAATAAAAAGTTAGCAAATAAATGACCTAACATTATATCTCAAAGCCCTAGAAAATCAACACCAAAAGCCGTAGAAGACAGGTAATAATTAAAATCAGAACTGACATCAACAAAATTGAAAGAAAAGAAACAATTAAAAAAACTGACAAAACATAAAGTTGGTTCTTTGAAAAAATAAATAAAGTAAATAAACCCTAGCCATGCTAATGAAGAGAAAAAGAAAGAAAACTCAAATTACTAAAATTCATGATGAAAAAGGAAATATCACAATGGACATGGCTGAAATAGAGAAGATAATTAGAAACTATTTGAAAATTTATAATCCAATAAAATAGAAAATCTTGAACACATCAACAAATTTCTAGAGACATATGTCTTACCCAAACTGTATGAGGAGGTCATACATGATTTAAACAGATCAATTTCAAGTAATGAATAGAAAACATCATCAAACTATTCCTCAGCATTAAAAAAAGAATAAAATTATAGCATTTGCAGGTAAATGGATGGAGTTGGAAAATATCATGTTAAATGAGATAAGGCAATCCTGAAAAACCAAAGGCCAAATGTTCTCTTTAATAAATGAATGCTGATCCACAATGGGGGGGATGGTGAAAATGGAGGAA